TAATACTCCGATTGCCTCGTCATCTGACATGCAGTCGTCAGTTTCGCCTTCGCAAGTAGGCACAAGTATTGCGAGCAGCTCGGACTTTGGTTCTCCCGGTCAGTTAGCACAGTTTTTTTTACTTCAGACGAATAAAAGTATTTGAATTTTGTGTATGTGCAGAACGAAAGAGACAGTTGGAATGGCACTCATTAGGCATTGGCCAGTGAACACCATTGGCACTGTAAAATTCTGGGATAATTTATAAAGCGGGAAGGGGACAGAGAAGTGGACTAAGAGAGATCTGTGCTTCTTTGGAGCGAACACTGCACTGCAGATACACTGCACTGCAGCATTTTATTCAGATGGAACGAGTGGACGATGTCCTCAGTTTAAAGTAAGAAAAAACAAGGATGGCAAGCCACGGAAGCATTCGCAGCACACCAAAGGGAATAAGTTGTGGGAATTTATACGCGATGCATTGAAGGATCCCAGCACATGTCCAAGCATTGTCAGGTGCGCATGTTTTTTGCTTTCAGATTATGAAGATTGCCTTTTCGATTTGTACGCCCATCTCAGTGATTGTTTGAGCGGTCTGCGCAGTGAGTTTCAGGCCATTGGCTTTTGCCTACAGCTGATACTTTAGCGTACACTTGAATAGGCTCAGTAATTAAAAGTTACCAACAAATAAGTTACTGTGGTGCATTTCACCGATTGCTGTTTAGTGTTATGTTCGAGGAAAAGAGGGAGATGACACCCTTTGCTCATGTTTTGTTGCGGATTCGTGTGCAAAAGACTTCGAAAGTTAGGAGGAAGTTAAGCGCACTGTTGCGGTATTTAGCCAGCTGGCACAGCATATTGGGAGCGGCAGACACAATTTAGCAAAAAAACGAAAGGGCAACAAAAGAAGCACCAGTGTGCTGAAATTAAAAAGTGAGAAGAGAATGCTTAAAAAAGTGATATTGCAAGTGACGGTAGAAATAAGCAAGAGCGCATTCCTGCATCAGAGGCAGTCATTCTGAGAAAAGAAGGGAGAGGGAGAGGCGTATCGCGGTGCCTTTGTCAGAGCTAGCCGCTGCACTGTCTCAGTTGCAAA